CAGCAACATAATCAGGATTTAAGAAGAATATATAGAAGGGGGTACGAATTCTCGAATTCATCACTTTTTTACCAGAATGCATTGCATTTAACCAGAGTGCACTGCGCCACTTTTTACCAGAGTGCATTGAGCCGCCCCACGAACAACAGGAAGACGTCCAGCCGTCATCCTTTTTCGCGTGGGTTTCAGTGAGAAAGATTAGTGGTTATGTTTTGCTCTGAGTTACCTGTAAAGCGATGTGAAGGAGATCGTGCTTGACTTTCGCAACTCTTGCTTTCGTTCTAAATGCAGTATGTGAAAGTTTGTAAATCTGGACGGTTAATTGTGACAACTGAATTTTAAACTTAGTATGTCATTTCTTAGCAGTCTCAACTCCTAGTTCGAATTCTTAAGTGAAGAGAAATCGTCGTTACTAAAGCTTGTAGAATAATTAACGAAAACCGTAGAACACGCTAATTTCATATATGCTGCGATCTATTCCTTCTCATCCAAACCTGAATTTAAGCTAAAGCTTTAGTATTTTCACACATCGCGATGGACCCCGGACGATGGACGCGTCCCACAGTCTGTCAACATTCTAGAGACATTTAATTCGTATCAGTACAGAATTTATGAGTTGGATTTCTGCTCCAACATTTTCCACATCTTTCGATTTTCGCGATCTGGTAAAGGGGAGATTGATGTGTATCTTTTTGTGTCCAAACATAGTTTAGACCACAATGTGCTTTTTTTGCCACGATGCGTTGTCGCACCTCGCCATCGATGCGTCATCATGCTTGAAGTTGTAGATGATAGATTTTGACCATGACCCTAAGTGGGTATCAGGCCAGAGTTGTAGATGAACCACCACAGAATGTGCCGCAGCATTACTATCTTTTAGATACCCTAGTCAAGATTTTATTCATATTCTAAACGGATGTGAGGGCTCCCCGTGCTGGAATGAACATATTAAGTATCACAACAGTCAGATTCCTCCGTGGGATAACCTAAGCAAGGACTAAAACAGCGAAAGTGTAGAATTTATAAATTCGAGGATATGTATTTTGCGAAACGAGCTTTCCGAAGACTGTAACGATATGTAACTTATTTCTTCCGATTCTTTAAACCTTTTCGTAGATACAACTCGATGCAGTGATGATTTTTAAACAGCGAGTTAAAGCCGAAAGGTCAGAAGTTCCACGTTTCGCAAATTACATTAGCGTGACTGCCTTACTTCTTTCATTACCAAGGTAATAAGTTAAGGCGAACGTGCAGACGGGACATTATGTGGCTTTTTCAAGTGACCTGATTTTTTACCTGCAAACTTTTAAAGGCAGCATTAACGGTCTCGTGCAAAGATGTGGAGGCAGCGTGGTCCGGAGTGGTTAGAGCGCCGGATTTGAAATCCGTAGGTCCCGGGTTCAAATCCCGTTCTGATCGCTAGCTGATGTTGTTCTCGGTAGCCCCGAGTTCAACTTCTCGGCTGCACTTGTAAATACCCAACTGGTCTACCTCCCGCCAGTTGGGATTCTTAACCTGGTTAATGTTTATTTGAATATTTATTTATCATTGTTTGTCTACATTGGTCCTGAAAAGCCCCAATGGGGAGTGGCCAATCAAGTACATAAGAATACAAGTAATAGTATATGTGGAGGGAACAAACGTCTTTGTTTTCTCTATGTGTCACGTTAGCTGTTGGGAGACACTAATTATAAAATGGTTTTAATTATTTTAATGCCTATATAATTTATGTAAGGAACACGATTATCAATGGCAACACATAGATGCTCTCTCCGATTTCTTTTTTCTTTTCTTTTTTTTTTTTTTTTTTCAGTTCCAGGGACAGCAGCTGTAACACAGGCTAGTGGTCTAACTAATAACTGAGATTGGTGAGAATTTAACTGTCAAACTGAGAGAAGGTGTGTTTTTTAACTGACCCCCGAGATTCCAGCACCCCATCCAAACCCTCTTGAATTTTTTCAGGTGTTTGATGGTGATGATGATGGCGGTGGTAGTGATGGTGGCGGTAATTGGGTCAACGGTGGTGGTGGTCCTGGTGGTGAAAAGGGCCAGTGGTGGTGGTGGTGGTGATGATGAAGATGATAGTGATGAAGAAAAAGCAGGTGCATTAATAATTATACGAAATTCTTACCAGGATTCTTCCTAGCCTCCTTATCTCTGAGTCAATATCATTATACCTCACCATACCTCTGATAGCAACAGGCTCCTGGAAAAGGAGAAAATCATTTAACATTAAGCTCTCTGAAAATTTTTATTTTTTTTAAGTATATTCATTTGTCTAAAAAGCTCTAAATTGTACTAAATGTAGAGACAATTAACTGTACTAAGTTTTTCTTTCCTTTATGTGTTTGAGTGCTTACATAGACTCCCCAGTGCGAATTAATATTTACGTCAGAGCTTGAGAGTTCAAGAGGATATGTATCAGGTTCAAAACAGAGCTTGAAATTTCCTTCGTCATCCACTAAAATATTGGACGGCGTTACACCTGTAAATCCAAAAAACATTATACAATAACTCAAGTTATTTTCGCATTTTGATTGGTTCTCGCCTATGATCTATTAGAGGACAGACGCACGATTGACGTCA